TCCGTTGTACGCAGAGTGAGTCGACGGCTCTAGTGTGGACGATTCTCGCGCTTCCCAGGGGGTATCTTTGAAGCTGTGTCGGACCCGACGGGCACACACATCAAATTACGTAGTTGAGAGTCGTCCTGCTTTCAAAAGAACCCTGCACAAAGATCGCACGGGCGGGGACACCTGTATCCTGTTTCGTTGTGTTCATCAAGTGCCTGTTGTGTTCGCCTTTTTTCTTTATTTACCCATAGTCTATGCCATAGTCTATCTCATAATAAATAAATAAAAATGGGCACCTCTACTGTGAGATGGGTAAAAAGGAACAGGTCCCCACCCGTGCGATCTTTGTGCAGGGTTCTTTGTGGGTGTGGTCGGCGACTAGCCGCGGGGTCGTCCTCCCGATGGGGGACTAGCACTAGCCGTCTCTTCCACACATGGTCCCTCGGGTCCCTGCTGCTCCTAATCTCTTCGTATATCCTCCTGCTGATCTCCGCAAAGTCCTGCTCCCTCCCTCGTCTCGCCCTTCGCAACGTCTGCTCCGCCCGCTCCACATCGTCTGCCCGAGTCTATCTCATAGAGTAGTAAATAAATAAATAAAACGGGCAAACTCTGAGACGAGATGGGATTTAGGGACATGTGTCCCCGCCCTGCACGATCTTGGTGTGAGGGCTAAAGGTGTCCGTTTTATTTATTTCGTTTCCTGCTTTCACTGAGTTGGCGGTCACTACGGAGCCTCTTGGTCGCAAGGCGCCCCTTTCGTGGCGGCGGCCGTGCCGACGAGCGCGCTCGCCACAAAGGCCTTGACGTCCGGCACCCACGAGTTTGCGGCAGGTGGGGCGTCCTGGATCTCGTGGCCCATGCCGCCGAGGATGAGCGTGCGGTGCGCCCAGCCCTGCACGCCCTCTGCGACACGCAGCGGCACATTCTTGTCGACGCCTCCGAGCACGAGCATCGTCGGCACGGCGTGGGCAGGGAGCAGCATCTCCCCGGCCGCGCGCATTGACTCGTCGTCTCCCCAGTAGCCTACCCACAGCAGCCGGTGTTAGCTCTGCAGCTACCGCTCCCCTCGCGGCGCTCCCGAGGGCAGCTGTGAGCGCGTGTGTGGAGCGGCAGGCTTTGCACCCCTGCCCGGCGCGCCTAGTTGCTTGGCAAGCATCCTCCCAGCCACAGACGGCTCGTGGCATACCCTCCACCCCGCGACGGCCGCAGTGCCCTGCACGCATTCTCGTAGGTACTCTGCGCGCAGCAGCGGGTCCGCGACGGGACAGAGGGCGACGCAGAACCGCATGCCCTCGATCGTGCGTGAGAGCGCCAGCGCGTGCCACCCGCCGCTGCTCGAGCCAATCACGCCCAGCGGCAGTGACGGCCAGCGTCGCCGAGCGAACTCAGCGACACAGGCGAGGTCGTGCTGCGCTGTCGGGTGCGGATGCGCCGCGCCCTGCCGATAGGTCGACGATACCGAGGCGATGCCGATGCCTGCCAGGGCCTCGGTGACGGCAGGGTGCGACTGCGAGCAGCCGTCGCTGAAGCAACCACCGTGTGCGAACACAGCTGCGGCGATGGGGCTCGGAGGCGAGCAGATCTTGAGCGCGATGCTCGAAAGGCCATCGGCGGTGGCGGTGGTGGCCAGCTCGATCGTGGCGCGGCTCATATACACAGCACACACAACGGGAGTCGCCTAACGGGCTAGGCTCCCTCGCACAACACCGGGCACACTGGCGCACTCGGGCATTGTCACCGCGGGAAAAGAATTTGACAAGGACACACTGCGCACGGGACTGGCGCGCACTGGCGGGAAAAGAATTAGAGAAAACTCGTTTCCGCGGCTAGCAATCTCGCTCGCCGCCAGCCGCAAGGCATGGGCGCGCCCATGCCTTGCGGCTGGCGGCGAGATTGCTAGAGGCGGAGCAAGCCTGCTCTAGTCTCACATGTTACTTCCTGTCGTCTGTTGTCTTGTTGTGCCCTTGTTTGTTCCTTTGGCACCTTGGAGTGCTGGCTGGGGGGGGCGACAGGGAGGATGTGGCCCTGAGTTATGTGTACGCCAACTCCGGGTGTGTGGCAGCCAGCTGGCTGTGTGCCTTGTGAGCCTTTTGTGTCTGTGTGTCGCTCGTGCGTGTCGTCATCATCTGTCCAGCGTCCACCCATACCGCGTTGCCGTTGGTGTCCAGTCCGAGCCTGGTGCTAGCCGTCGCCCACCCTAACCCTTGGTCGTCTGCCTCTTTCTATCTCCCTTAAAGAAAGAAAGAAAGAAAGGAGACAACCCAAGGGAGGGAGGGGAGAACGGCACGCCGCCACCACACAGGGATTTTAAGGAGAGGGGTGTGTTCTATCTCCCTTCGCACTCCCAGTGGTGTGAGAAATTCTTTTCCCCCCGCACTCACTTGAGATGGCTTGCTTACTCGTCGCGGCTAACGCGTGGCTGCTGCCGCCAGCGCGAACACTTTCCCAGCGTCAGCTCAGCGCCTCGCGCTCCAGGCCATGCATGCAGCGTCAGCCCACCGCCAGGGACGACGTTCCTCCGGTCGACAAGGCCACCTTCGTAGCCGCCGTCGAAATACTGGACCGCGAGTTGGCCAAGGCTGGAGGCGTCGACCCTCCGAAATCCTTATCGGAGGCCGAGGGCTCGGGCGAGGCCGCTTTCGCCATCGGCAAGACGACGGCAAAGCTGCCATTATCAGAGGTGGAAGGCCTCGGGCTCGTGGAGGCGACCTACCTAGTATTGGTCTCGGGTGTCACCACGCCGCTGGTCGAGTCTGGCCTCCAGGTCAAGGACACCATCGTGAGCGTGTCGGTCGAGGGGACAGAACTGCACGAAAGCACCCGGGCGCTGGACTTGGCGGCGACGGCGGAGCGGCTCACGGCGGCGATCAAGACCGCTGAGGAGAATGGGGTCGCGGAGATCGGGTTGGAGCTGAACCGGCTCGTGGAGCTCCGGTACGCAGAGAAGTAGGGTCTCCCCGCGGAGTCACCAGTCGGCCGGGGGCGCGTGATTCTCTCTATAAATCGGAACAACACTGATGCTCGTTTTGTGTGTATGTGTGTGCAGCAAGGCCTGCCGGCTGAGCGGGCTTTTGAATTCTTTCCCGCGACAGGTGTAGTTTATTTTTGCTTGGGGCGGCCCTCATGCCGGGGTAGGTAGGGTAGGTCTGGGCCCTCCCGTCGGGTTTTTCCCTCTCTTCAAGCTGGAATTTTCCAAAAAAGAAATTTTCCGCGGAAATCACGATGTCAACCAGATACGGCGAAAGGACTTGCCGGAGGAGGTGGTGGCTATGGGGCTTTGGACCTTTGCGAGAGGTGGCGAGCGGAGCAAGCGCGGTGTAGGCGCGTCCACGCGGCGCAGCGGCTCTCCCGCGACCCCGGCCCCTCTCGTAGCCGCAGCCGTAGCCGCAGCCCTAACTCCTTGCCGCTCTTCCGTGTCGGGTTGTGACGAGGGGTGAGGGGACACGGATTGAAGATCCCTCACATCAAGATCGTGCAGGGCGGGGACACATGTCCCTAAATCCCATCTCGTCTCAGAGTTTGCCCGTTTTATTTATTTATTTATTTACGATGTCAACCCTCCCCAAATGGGGTGATCTGATGCTTGTAGGGCTTGAGAGTGGCCTGCCATGTCACAAGAAGGACTGTGGTTGCAGGAGAGTACCACCAACCATCACTCTAGTTGGTATAGTACCCCACCTTCACCCATCCTGTGATTTCTTTTTTAGTTTCCCATAAGTAAGGTAGGTAGGTAGGTAGGTAGGTAGGGGCGGGGCAGGGGCCGGCCGGGTTTTTCCAGAATTTCAGCATGAGGGCCGCCCAAGCAAAAAAAGAATACACCTGCCCGCGAGTGCAATTTATGAGCATGTGCGTGTTCGTGCCAGTGTGCGCGCTAGTAAACCGGGAATGTCTTTCCGACTCAAATTCTTCTTGTGCGCCACGGCCAGTCCCGTGCCCCCAGCGCCAGTGTCGTAAGAGGGAGCGCCTTCGAAAATAGTTAGAGGCTGCGCAGGCCGTCCCGTTTGCTGTTTGAAACGCCTGTTGCGCTGGCCGCTGCGCGCGCGCGCTGGCCGCTGCCGGGGCTCTGTCTCACTCTCACGTGCCGCAATATGTGTCACACACGGCGGCTTCTGCCACCTCTCGATTGGTTCCACTTTCTACGCACACCTACCGGGGAAGGGGCGCTTGGGAGCGGGGGCGGGGGCGCGCAGCGCGCGGCGCGCGCGCGCAACAGAGGGTAGGGTGGGGAAGACGGCGAGGAGGGGGCGGCGGCGGCGGCGGCGGCGGCAGCGCGCGCGCGGCGCGCGCGACGGGGGGGCGGAGCAGCGACCGCTGGCGCGGTCGCTGCTCCGTCTGTGCCAGGGACGCGCGCTCTGCGCCGCTGCAGAGCGCGCGCGTCAGGGCAAGGGGCATGTGTGGCGGCGCGGGACGCGCGGCGGCGGCGGCGAGCAGCCGAGCGCACCGTGAGCGGTGAGGCGGCCGGGCGAGGGCGCGGCGGGTGACGGGTCAAGGGAGCAGCCCACACCCGGCCGTCGCTTTTTGAGCGACGCCTGTGGTACGCCTGCGCAGGGGCCGCAGGGCGGTCAGTTGTGGGGCGAGGCGGTGCCGGCCGCGGGCCGGGTGCAAGGCGCCGGCCTCGGCGCCGCCTCGGCGCGCCGCACGGGCGCGGCGAGCCTCTGAGCGGGAGCCGAAGGTTTGCTGCGGTAGGTAGGTGGTAGGTAGGTAGGTGGTGGTGGGGTGGTTTGACTTTGCCGCAGAGGCCGTCCCTAGCTGTGAACAGCAAAACGGGACAGTATTCTTTCTGACTCCTGCGAGCCCAGGGCCCGGGCTCCTAGCCGGATAGGGGGTCTGTCGCCACTGGCTGGCCCCTCCCAGTGAGATAGGTAGGTAGGTAGGTTGGTCTTGTTTCGCCCAAAAGCGAAAAGGGCCCTGCAATAGGTAGGTACCCCCTATTTTCATCTTTTTTCGCTTCGCTGCGCGGCCTGGGGATAGGTAGGTAGGCGTTTTGGCGCGAGTCAGTGGCAACAGACCCCCTATCCGGCTAGGAGCCGGAACCCAGAGTGCCCGCCGGACGCGGGTTGTGATGGTGGGCTGCGCGAAGTGCGAGCGCTGCCAACCATGCCACCTTCAGGCCGCGTGAAGAGCTCGTATGCGACGACGAAGCAGACAAGCACCACGCAGAGCAGACCGAATGCCGAGAGGAAGGAGAGTGTGGAAAAGTCCTGCAGGCGATTCGTCCGCAGGGCTGTCAGGGCTGAGGTCACAAGCTTGGGACTAGAACTAGCCACCTTGAGCCAGTTGGTCGTCAGCGAGAGCGCGATGAACCCGCCTGTTACCAGGCTGGGGTCCACCATCGGCAGCAGCAAGGTGGCGTTTCGCCAAACGGTCACGTTCATAGCTACGAGCGCGAAAAAGATCTCAAAGGAGGAGCTTCCGATGACAAACCACTTGCCCACAGCGCCCAGCGTCGCCTCGCCAATCCGGGCGTAGGAAGGCACCTTCTCGCCAGACGCCTCGAGCGTGCGATAGCTCTCGATGATTAGCACACCCGTGTACCAGCTGAGCACTGCGAGCACAGCAAGGAGGAGCAGGCCGACCCAGCCGCACTCCCCAAACGCGTACCCAAAGGAGAGGAGGACCATGCCCAGGTAGTTGTTGATCAAATTGAAGCAGGTCTGGACGTTTGAGCTGAACTCGGTGCCCTCCGCTGCGTGGCAGGCAGAGGAGGAAGGGTGAGGTGTTTTGCCGTCAGCCAGGTTCGCTCCCTTCGTGGAGAGAGGAGAGTTGATCTATTGAGGGCCTCATGAAAGAATCGCGTGAGGTGTTTCACAACGTTGGCGAGGCGACTTCCCGGGCGGCTTTAGGAGAGGCAGAGGGGAGGGTGTCTCAAACCTGAAATGTAGTCACCTGAGTCTGCCGCGTTGAACATTGGTGGCAGCGCCTCCCGATCCAGGCGTGGTGATGGGAGAGGGTACAGAGGAGAAGCGGGCTTGCCGGTTTGAGAGTCACGGGTGAGCGTGGAGGGCCGAGGCGACGAGTGTGAGGCACCCATCGCCAAGGTGCAGCGTCACACTCGCCGCCTCAAACGCGTGCCTCCGTTAACCTTGGAGCACTTCGGAGCACCTCCAGTGCGCTTGGCACCACGCGGGCAGCCGTTGCGTCGGCGATATGGCTGCGACGGGGACGGACGTCGATTGAGCACTTGAGTGCACACTTGAGCACTGGATAGGGTCGATTCCGCATGGTACGGGACCCCTCGATCGTCTCGCCCTCCCTCACTGGTGTGTTCATTGGGGGGGGTCATAACAAACACGGTACAGGATCGAGGTGCACGCTGCCGAAGCAGTGTCGTCCCCCCTCTCCCCGACGGCGATGGCGGTGTGACCGATCGAGCTACAAGAGGAGCTCGTTCAGCAGGATCCGGGGTAGTCAGGCGCACTACCTCACTGGGCCTGAGACCGCCGAGACGCCTCCCATCACCGTCTCGATTGGCTAGTACAGTGCGATGAGCTTTTGGGGGGGGGGGGGGTCCGTGCGTCGAGGTCTCGACGTCCGCCCGAGGCCCACCCACCGCTCATCTCGCCTGCACGGGCCCGGTCCCCCGCCGGGCTATGGCCCGGGGTGCGGGTGGCCGCCGCCGCGGAGCAGCCCCTTTGCGCTTTGGAGTGTGAAGGCTTCGTAGCCCTGCGGTCTACTATGAAGACCCGCAGGGCTGGGAGCGAAAAAAGGCAAGCGATTGGCCGCGGAGACCGTCGGCTCTGCCTCTCTCCCGGCCCGCGGCCTCTCGGGTGACGCTGACGGGTCTCTCCGGCGCGCGTTCCGGGCGCAAGCCGCAACCGACCCCCGCGGCATATGGCGCTTGGGCCGAGCGTTTTTGATCTCTGGATCTGTGGGCGCCCGCCCGCCGCCTCTGAGGGGGTCGGGCCCCCTAGACTGAAAACAAAAACAAGCTCGAAAACAGCCAAAATCAGCCTGCGAGAGAGGCACTGCGCGCCGCTGACCTCAATGTGGGGATGTGTGCCGACACCAATACTGATCTAAAACCTGGAAACCCTTGTTCAAAGCCGACCCTAAGCGCCATCCTTCCTGCTCTCACCTGATGCTGCTTCCCCGCGCCGCCTCCTTGGGCCCCCTTGGGCGTATTTTCTACTCCCAGTGGGGTCCCGGGCCCCCGGGCCCCCTCTTGTTTTCTGTTTTTCAAAACGCCCGCCCGCCCGCCACACCCCGAAGCGGCTCGGCCCCCCACAGATCCAGAGATCAAAAACGCTCGGCCTTGGCGGGCGTGCCGGGACGACGCGCGGGTCTGAGCTAAGTTTGTGGAGACGTCTGCAGCCCGTGAGTGAGCGTGACTCGTTACTCGTGTGTATTGAGTATTCTCCCGTGAGACAGCAGCGACCTTCGCCACATACTGTGCCTGGCCCTAGAACCTAAGAAAATAGCCGCACACACGCCTCGCGCCCGCTTGTGGGTTGCTGGCGCTGTTGCAGGGGCCCCGAGGTGAAAGCATCGCTCACACCAAGCAGGGGCCGGGGGGGAGCGCAGGATACTTCAAGCGCGCGAGAAGCGGAACAGACT